TCATTACCTTTCATTGTAGTAATTATATAAGATTCTCGAGGGTACGGGGTCTGATTCAAATGGTTGAATATGTGGCAAAATTTGCAAAGCACAATTAACAAAGTAAGTAAATGGTGCCAGGAGAATAATTTCCTTCTTGTACTCCAAAAGAAAAGCTCGCGCCTGTGCCCTGATGTCCAGACTTTCGGTCACAGACGTAACGAATTGAAAGGCTTGATGACAATCGAATTCAAAATTGTGAATACTGTTGTGAATCTCTCTGAACTCGCGGATGAATCTCCTGCATCTAAATGAATGTGATTTACAAATTTCAAGGCAAATTACGATAACATAACATCACCAACACCCATACACTCATTGGGAGGAATTACCGGTTCATCCATTTAACTGAAGGGGTAAAATCAGTCCGATATGAGAACGTTGTTCAAATGTTTATTACTATTTCACCATATTGACAAGTATTGAAATGCATCAAAATTGCACTCTTTTAAAATTCATTCACTAGAAACGCATCGCAAGCGAAATTCATTAAAATTTAATCATTTTGTGTAATGTGGCACCGTTAAATGATCTCAAAGTAGACAAAAAATCATTTGTGGTTGCAACTTGGTCACTCTGCAATTTCGAATATTTGCAGAACAAACAGAAAAGCCATTGATACTAGTCTGATAATGAGAATACAAGAGAATGAGAATTTGATTTGAAAATGGAGTCAGCTGAATAGGAAAATAGATGCCTTTGTCATGCGAACCGCTCATTACACAAGCTTTCGAAAGCGTCTCATCTTTGAGTCGACGCAACCTTAGTATTCCAACGATCCACCAGTGGTGGCCAAGAGAATTTCGTGGGTTTGCACTTGAGAAAGATCAAACCACCCTTCCGTCTCGAGCACTCATGTATACTCACTCACATTGTCTGTTGGCTGTGAACTCTGACCACACTATGCCTACAATGTACCTGATAATGTGGACGTCGGTTAGACTCATTTCGTCACAAATCGTACTGGAGGCATCTTGTGGATTGACTGGCAACAAGATATGCAGTTTTCTCGATATATTCAACCAGATAAGCTCGAATTTATGCGTCGGAATTATGGCTTCAACTGTCAGACACACGTGTTTGGGTGTCCCGCATTCGAAATCGTGAAAATGAAGATCAATTTCTTAAAGTTGGTTCCTGATTTGTTCAGTACCCCACCCACGAGTAACCACTTTCATGGCAGTCGGATATCTCAAATTTGGCAATTCATGAGAAATGAGAATGCTCTTTCTTAACTAATTCGTTATGTCACTACGTTTCTTCAAATGCACTTTTGTGCGAAATCAAATTGACTGCATACTATATTTTAACACAAAGTCTAACACACATTTCTAAATTCCTGTTTTCTCACATTATTGTTGTCAACAATAAAGACATCTTTTTTAAGGGTATCGAAATGCTTAAAGAACAAGCACCTAGAGCGGCAGCCCTTCCTTCTGCCACTAAGTGCTTTCTGAGGACTAACGTGCAAAGTGCATATTCTTCCGATGACGTAGTGTAGTTGTCTAGGTCATTAGGGTAAGGAGTCTACCTAATTTCACAAAGTGGGTGGGTGGGGTGGGGGTGGGGGGGTTAGAAATTCTTATTTTGATTGAATTGAGAAGATTCCTGCTCATTCTCAAATTACGGTGAAACAGGTTGCATCTGCATTACCAATCACTTCCATCACCCATACACCAACTCCTCCTCCTCCTCATCACACACGCACACCCCCATTCCACTCACACGCACATGACAGTGCAGGTGAAAGGTCAACGCCATTTACACCTTTCAATTTGGCACGGACAGTACACACTCTCCTCAGCATACCCACGAAGCCGAAACTGTTGATGGCTATAGGGAAAGTGACGAATAGATCTCCGAAACCTACTCATTGTGAGCATTCTTGCTTCTAAGAGAGATGTTTGACACATCTTGTGTTAATCGTTTCGATTAGCATTCACCTCTCTTGGTGTCTGGTAATGAAGGCAGCTACACTGGCTCACCAACAGCCCACATCACCCTTCAATCACAAGCTCCAATCAAGAGAGTCAGGTTTAAAGGCGGCTGTAGTTGGTACTGAAGCAAAATCTTCTTACTAAATGCAAATCATTATTCGTGGCGTGAATTCCAAAGGCATATTTCAGTAATACGAGTTAACATGCTGAATTGACGATTGAAAAGTTATTTGCTTTTACTTATTAATAAATATGTCAATGAAGTAGAAGAATTATAAAATCAGTTTGACCTATTATAGAAAAGGAGTTATTTTGTGATTTCAGAAGAGGATGTAAACGCGCCATTTCCTTCATGTCGTCTTAATTTAACGCTTTCATCATTTTGGTGGTGGTGAGAAGGGTGGGGGGGGGGGGGGTTGTTGATGTGTTTAAGGAAGAAATCAACTCCATGAGAAAGTGAAATGGGTGCCAATTAGACAGTCAATTCATGTAATTTATAAATGCGCAATCCTATAATAATGTACGGGAAAGGCGCACTTTGACATAGCAGAAATCACAAAGTCATTATTTAGTTGAGCGAACTCAGTGAAGATGAAATCGCACTGGAAGGATTCCTCAATAACTGATAATTGTGGCAAAGAGGTGTGCGATAGACTTATCGCCATATAGTGTACCCTGGGCAACGTATACTCACACGAGAAAAAAGTGTTTTAACCGGCAGTTGACCTCTGATTTCAAACTATCATCACCCCACTGTATGTCATATTCGACTACTTCCACAGTACTCACCTCACCTTTTTCTACCTTTATGCTTGTCCCTTTTACATTTTTTAAACACTCTTCTGTTCCCTCTTCCCCCCCCCCCTCTCGACATTTTGTCCCTTTGATGTTCCACCTCCTCCCTGTGAACCCTGAAGTCAGCTAAATGACTAAAGAAAGCCATCAAAACGCCTACCATTTGATATAAATAAATTTTCTCATTTGAATGATGAAATTCGGCTCCCTTTTCGAGAATACTAATAAAGTCTTGAAATGACAAACAGACATGTTAGTTCTGCAAATATTCGAAATTGCAGAGTGACCAAGTTGCAACCACAAAAAGTTGTTTGTCTACTTTGAGATAATTATTCATTTAACGCTGTTACAATAAACATAATGATTAATTTTAAATGAATTTTTTTTGCAACGCGACTCTAGTGAGTGAATTTTAACAGAT